GTTCCCATTTGGACCCCCCAGCAGTTGCTTAGAGCCACGCGCTCCGTCCACAGGTTTGGCCATAACCCTTTCTCTCTGCATCGCCTGGGTTGCTGCTGCTTTGCAGTCCTGCTTTGCACAGCCGGGGCGGTTGGGTTGGGATGAGCTGTACTCTTACTTGGGGAGGTTCTGACCCATTTTGATGCTAAAGTAAAGTCCCCCCTTCCTCACCTCGTTTCAGCAGAGCAGCTCCGCACGCGATGAGCGTCCCGAGCACCGCGGCGTGGGTAGCTGCGTATCCCTTACCTGGCAGCTTCTCCGGGCTCTGAAGTCTCTGGCTTTACTCAGTGCTGTCATCCCCTGGGGCTTCACACCTCCTCACTTTGACTTCAATTTATTTTTTTCTCTTTAATGTTGCTTTTAGAAGCTTGCTACAAGGATGCTTTTAAAAAAAATCATTAGATTGGAAAAAAGGACTCTCATTCAGTCCCTGTGCTGGGCAGAGGTGGGGAAGGGGCTGGCACGGATGCGCTATGTGACCACAGAATTATCCTTCAAAGTGAGCAGATGGCTCAGTCTCAATAAACCCCTCAGAGAAATTCACAGAGGTCTTTGAGGCTTCAGTTTGTTTCGTATTTTCTCCAGGCGCTGTGCAGGAAGGAGAGAGGGGGCTGCTGTGGGCTGAGGAACCAGACAGCTGAAAGCAGGTCCGTCCATTGACAGCACATGTTTTTTGGTCCCTCTCCACCGAAAACATTTTATCTTAGCAAACGTCACGTCATAGCAAAAACGTCAGGCAGGGGCTTGCGCTGTCCCCCCAAGCCAGCATGCGTTGCTCCCGGCTGGGGGGTCTGTGGGATGCTTGTGCAGGAGGAAGAGGATAGAGCATCTTCATGACCATGTAGGTTATTAAAGTGCCCTGGGACCGGCCACGGGGCATTGGCGTGGCAGCACCACTGCCCCAGAGATGGTGCCCGTGCTGGGTCAGTTGGAGGGAGCTGCAGTTCCAGCCCATGGGTGAAACATGGCTTTCCTGGCACTGCAGTGGTGCCAGGACGGTGTGGCAGCTGGCGTGCCAGGAGGATGCAGCTGGAGGGCTGGCATGGCTGTGGGGAGGCCGAGCACATCTCTCCTCTCTCCATCCCTGGCTTCCAGCACAACAGCCTGCCTGTCTGCGCCACTTTCTTGTTTTCCTTGTCCCACCCATGGGTAGAAGCGTCAAAGCACCAAGAAAGCCCAGCTTTCACACCCTGGCAGACGATGCGAGCCATTAGCTGGGCGTTTGTCTGAGGGGAGCTTCTGACCTTTCCTGAGCAACTCTGCAGTAATGGATCATGCACAAATAATTCACGGCTCCCAAAACCACTCTGGCTTCAACCTTGCAGTGATGTGATAAGCAGAGCGGGTGGTGCAGCACGGGGGACAAACTCAACCTCGTGGGACTGTTTGGTCCCCGCATTCCTCGGGGAATAGCTGTGTGCAGGGAGATACCACGAGCAAGTGGCTGTCACGCCATCTCGCATTCCTGATGGCTCCAGGGTCAACCTACTTTTTGAGTTGCTCACGAGCACCTTTTGTTCTCTGCTTCATAGGCATCCAGCTCAACTTTATTAGAAAATCTGTGTTTCTGATGAGTGCAGCTCTTTAAGTCAGAAGATGATTCACAGTAAAGTTTGAGCTCTACCTGCAAACGTATTGTCTCAGGCTCCGAAGCACAAGCTTCAAGGAATGGGCAAGAGCTCAACACCCCCTTGTTAAGACAGCAGAAAGAACAAGCTGTTACGTACAGAGCTAAAAATAACTGAAAAGCTTTGAGTCTTCCTCCCAGTTGCAGCAGAAGGATGCACTAAGCGCTGATGGCCGAATCCATCTCTGGCGCAGCTCTGACTTGATGATACATTAAAGCTTTTGTGACTTTTTGAAGCTCAGTTCAGATAAACACAGAGCAGCGTGGCTGCTTTTCCGGAGCTGTCGTGATTTCTAACATGCTTGAGAGTGGCTTGGGGCAAATCCAAAAGCTGGTGTTCCCAAAAGGGATGGTGCCTTTTTCAGTAGAATTTTAACAGGGAAACTTAAGAAGGGCAGAAGCGCACAAAATAGCTGATATTGGCCCAGCAGCTGACAAAGCATCTCTCTGTAAGCCGTGTCTTGAAAGCGGGATTCATCTGGTAAATAATGACATGGTATAAATAACAGCGCTGAGCCTGTTTGCAGGGAGCTGTGCTCAGGTTGGGTAGGATATGGGCTCGGTCTGGGGCATCCCATAAGCATCCCTGCCGATGGCCTGGCTTCCTGAGCGTGGGGTGCTGGAGGGAGCCCAGACACCTCCACGCTCACTGCAGAGTCCAGTGAGCATCCTTACTCGGCCTCCGCTCCCCGGTCTCCCTCGACTGCAACGTTTTCCTCTGATGGGCGCTGATGGAGATATCTCACCGGATGAGGCCGCTGGCCACCTGGGGTGATGGGGATCCGTTATGACACAGTTTCTTCTGCCAACATACAAGTTTTTATTCATTCTTTTGTTTTTACAACAGCAGCCAAGGGAGGCACTTTGTCACTGCCTGTGACCAAAGAGCACAGAGGGAGAGTGGCTGAAGAGTTTGAGCTATGATAAAATGCTCACTGTATCGATCTTGGCTCAGGATTTGTTTCCCTTCTTGCATTAACTCCCCATTGATTGCCGTGATGACCTTAGAGCATACAGTTTTGTTGGCCTTCTCCCTTAGCCGGCAGCACCCCCGTGCCTGCACCTCGCTCCCCCCCCAAGCCTTGCCGAACTGTTGATGGGCCAGGTCGTACAAGGTGCTCTGGGGTAAGCAGAGCTTTGCTTTTGCCTCCTCTGTCATCAGAGGTTTGATGGCTATATGTTAGTCGCTATGGTTAGCATAGAGGTTAGTGCTATATGGCACTAACTTGTTATTGCTTGAGGGTCAGGTCATTATTTTAGTGCAAATAAACTAGATCCAAGGGTGAGGAGTCCTGGAAGGAATTAAAGAAGGGGCTTGGTTTTGCCCTGGAGATGCTCCGTTTCCCCATGTCAGGGACCCCCACGAGGCTGTGTCATTGCTGTATCAAAGGAGGCCTGGTGTACCAGGGTCAGGGCAGGTCCGTCGGGGTGGCTGGTTGGGGTGACGGTGCTCATGGAAAGCCCTTTGCCCTGCTGGGTTCTCCAGCACTGCCAGAGACTTGCTGAGACGACAGAGAGTGAAACTCTTCCCATCGTTGCAAGGGACAACGTGAGGTCGGTGGCTGCTGCTCCGGGTGCGCAACGTGAAAGTCACCTTCATCCTTGCTCCCTCTTAACTCCAGCTTTCACGGTAAAATCATTTAATGACCCTGTTTTGGAGAAAAGTACCTTCCTCGGGGTTGTGGCGGGGGCTTTGGCCTCCTTCACCTGTGTGAACCCGCGGCCAAAGCCCTCGGAGCCAGGGAGCAGCACCAGGGTGAGTGGGGTGGGGATGGCAATAGTGCTGATTGCGGCGTCCCGGCTCTCCGACTGTCGGGTGCCATTGTGTCCGGCCGCTGATGCTGTACTGGGCTCCTTGGCCTTCTTTGGTTTTGCAAGTTTATTGTACTTTCTACTTATTTAATTATTTATGAGCGTGGATGCTCTAAATGGGAAGAGGAATGGTGACTCTCCCAGTTCCCTTTCCCCTGTGCTGTTGGATGCTTTTGGTGCTTGTGATTCACTTTTCAGTCCACCCAGAGACAATTTGCTGTAAAACATTGACATCTAGTGGCTTTTCTGACGAAGGAAACGGTAGGGAACAAAAGATTGGCCAGTCGTTGATGCCACTAGGGAAAGCAAATGAATGTCCCTTCTCCTCCTTACGCAGCACCAAGGACATGGCGATCACACCCTGGGGGCTCGGGGCTCCCGGGCACACGCTCCTTGGTGTCCTCGTCCTGGAGGAGCTGCCTTCCCTGGCAGGACAATTTGCTTATTGAGCTACTTCAATGCCATTTACTTAAGCAGATGGCTGGTATCCTGACGGCATACCTCTGGCATTATCGCTGAGGCCGTGGTCATATTACAGGAGGTGCGAAGAGCTTGGTGTGTATGGCTTCGGGCTGCCGACGGTGGGCAACATGGTGTTTGATGGTGGATGTTAATGTGCAAGTGATCTCTTAATAATATATGTAAGGTTGAGCTTGCAGCATTTCCAGCTGGCAGCCTGACGGAGTTCCCTGCAGCAGCATGTCCCCCGTGTGTGCCACTGTCCTGTTGCTCCAAACCAAAGCCAGCACCCCCCTTGGAAATGTTTTCTCTTACAGACGGTGTAATGCGTCCTTTAACTTCCCGTTCTTCACTTATCTCTCCTCTCTCGTGGTTGCAGTCCTGTATCAGGTGAAGGCAGGAGGATAAAACGAGATTTGCATGGGCTTTTCTGAGATCCTCATTTCAATGCAAGTGGGTTGGGGCTTCTGGGCACATCCCATCTATCTGGCCCGCGAAAGGAAATGTCTTCCTCGTAGGTGTAACGCTGCTCGGGGGCTCGTGCAGCTGAAACCCACGGCTGCTCATCGGGACGAGTAGCACAAGCAGCTTTTTGCAGCCTACATAAACTTGTCAGTGCAGCTCTGTTGTACAAGGAAACTAAAAAAGCCACTAAAGTGCTACCTGTGCCCTGCTCGGGTTGGGGCTTACATCCCGGGAGATATTTTGATTATTCTCCCGAGGTCTGGGGAGAGCACCAGTTGAGGCACCCAGCAGGAGCACGTTGCCGCGTGGGCAGCCCAGCACAGAGGGGAATCTTGGGTTCCCTTCCGCCTCTGTCGAGGCAAAACCCATTAAGCAGAGACGGACGTGTGCAGGTAGATACAACCCTTCCCGCTCCCCCCGGGGAGTTTGTTCAGCCACCCTTCACCCTGCGGAGGTGAGCGCGCAGAGGAGCGCTCTGCAGCAGGGCTCCTGAAAGCCTCTTAGCGCATCTCCAAGTTTGTATCGATTTTGAACGTTAATGCACCGTGTGCTGGAGGCACTCGGGACTAAACGCTCTGCCTTCCTCTCCCCTTGGCAGGAATTTCTACTACATCACCATCCTGCGTGACCCCGTCTCCCGCTACCTGAGCGAATGGCGCCACGTCCAGCGGGGAGCGACGTGGAAGGCGTCCCTGCACGTCTGCGACGGCCGGTCCCCGACCACCGAGGAGCTGCCCAGCTGCTACACGGGGGACGACTGGTCGGGCTGTTCCCTGCAGGAGTTCATGGATTGCCCCTACAACCTCGCCAACAACCGCCAGGTCCGCATGCTCTCCGACCTCAGCCTGGTGGGATGCTACAACCTGTCGGTCATGCCCGAGGAGCAGAGAAATAAGGTTCTGCTGGACAGTGCCAAGGAGAACCTGAAGCGCATGGCCTTCTTCGGCCTGACCGAGTTTCAGCGTAAGACTCAGTATCTCTTCGAGAAGACTTTCAACATGAACTTCATCTCGCCGTTCACGCAGTACAATAGCACAAGGGCCTCCAGCGTGGAGATAGACGAGCAGACTCAGCAGCGCATCGAGGCCCTCAATTTTTTAGACGTGGAGTTGTACGATTATGCAAAAGACCTGTTTTTGCAGCGGTACCAGTACATGCGGCAGAAGGAGCACCAGGAGGCGCGGCGGAAACGCCAGGAGCAGCGCAAGATCCTGAGGGCGAAGCAAGCGCGCCTGAGAGAGCAGGGCGAGAACAGCTCCAGCACTGACTACATAGGGAACGTGGAGCGGTGGCGGCGGTAGTGCGGGGGGGCTCGCCGGACACCAAAAACCGAAGCAGAACCCAACCCCACCCGCAAATTGGAGACACCGGAGCAGCCCAAACAAATCACGCTTCTCAAGGGTTTGAAGCAAAAAGAGGTTAAGATGTTGCCTTTGCAGTTGCCTTTGCAGTAAATGTTGTACTGTACGTGGAACGCTTAATCTTAGCGTGTAATTAAATTGTCCTTTTTAGGTTTGTTGGATTATTTATGAAATACGGGAGCCAAGTAGGCTCATCGGAAATGGTTGCTTGGACGTTTATTTAAAAGAAAAGAAAAAAAAAAAATCCGTAAATTAGTTATGAGTACGAAATGGGATGCTGGAAAATGTTTATGATGCTCGGCTGAAATCTGTCTGGGAAGCAAACTCATTTCCTAATAATGAGCATTTAGCATACTGTCACAATACAGTGTATGAGCAAAACCTTTTCCCTTTGATTTTATCTTAATTTTATTTTAATTATACGTTTTCAAGGGCACCAACTGCTTATGGTATTTACCAAGTTAATGAATGGACGATGAAGGGAACAATAAAGGTCTAGAAAAAATATTGACTAGTTTTATGTATAATATTGGCTTTTAAAAGGAATAGAAGTAATTTCTCTAGTTATATAAATATTTAAAATTTTAAACTTTTTCTACCTACTGCTGTTTAGAGTTTTAAGCTTGGTCTATCTCATATTAAAAAAAAAGAAAAAAAAAAAAAGACATACGTACTTTTCTGAACTCAATGCCAATGTTATAGACACTGTTTCCAGAATTTTTCAGGGCAGTATGATTTTAACCATTCTGGAAAAGTTACAGCACATCTTCATGTTTCATAAAGCCTTTTCCAAATTATAGTCCTGTGACAGTGTCTAATTTTAAGTCTTTCTTACCCATTAGAATACAGAATGCTGAATTTATCATTCCTTAATAATTGGTGGTATAAACTAGATGAAATTATGTTGCAGATATTTGTGTAGTGTCTTTAAAAAGTCATAAAACTCTCTAATCCCAGCAATATTACGAAGAGATTGCTCAATGGAAGAAGTAGATTTACACTTGAATTAGGATTTACTTCCAGTAAATCTTTGCTACACCAGATAAGAACAGGGTTTTTTTTTTTCCTATGCTCTTGAGCCCTTCTTAGCGATGACGGATGAGCGATGACTAAAAATGAGGAAACCAATTTTACCATAGCCATAGTTATACAGGATGAGAAGGTTGCATGGTGCGCGGGGATGCGGTAGCCCGCTCCCGAGCAGGCTCTGCTGGGGCGCAGGGTGCGGAGCTGGAGCTGGACCGGGCTCACCCACAGCCCTTCGGCCTCACCGAGACTGACGGGGAGAGGAGATGGGGCAGGAGGTGCCAGGGGCTCCTATAAATCTCTATGCAAAAAAAAAATAAAAAAAAAATAAAAAAACCTCTGCAAGGCTTGGGCTAGACGTTCAGCAAGTTCAGAAATTTTGTACGTAGCCTGCAACGCTCCCGAGCTTGGCCCTAAGTGGCGATCTCGGTGCGGGTGCGCGGTGATGGAGGCACCCGAAAAGGGCGCTCTTTGTCCCGAGGTACACGATGCTTACAAGGCTCACTTGCACTATTGCCTTTCACCTGTAATATTCTGTACACCGAGAGGGCAGGGGGGCATAAAACAAGGCAGAAGGCTTTAAAACCATCTTACAGCTCCACGCCTAAGTTATCTGAAAGTTGTCTTACATCTCATGTTGTATTGCAACCCGGGGGCAACAATCCTGCCGGGAGCAAGCAGAGAGCAAAGCAGCAGCAAACCAATACCCTGCATTAGCAGCTTGGAAAAGAGAATAACTTCATGTACAGCAATTTTTTTTTTTTAAATGAGAACTGCAGTTGCCAATATGATGTCTCAGTTGTATTTTGGTTTTTACGGGGGAAAATAATTCGCTGTTAAAACTGAAAGGCACTGCTGTAAACAGGACTTAACTGTGGGCAAGCTGGAGGGCCTGTTGCAGAAGGTGCATTTTGTTTTTATGCTGTGGTGTGCATGGTTTACAGAGACTAGTTGCATTTTCTTTGTGTATACTGTTTATTGTATATAGGGGATGTACGAATATAAGGATACCATTTTGTCATAACCATATCAAATTCTACTGATTTCCACTGTAGACGCTGTCTTATTGTGTAGATTTACAGGCCAATCCACTGACTTTGATTGTGTAATTTAACAATAGAACTGATAAATAAAATTTAACTACAGTCTTCTGATTTTCATGTGATTATTTCTTCATCTGACAACGTGTTGGGAATTGCACAGTTCAGAATGAACGGTAATTTCAACATGAATGAAATAGCAGTTGACAGGCAACTATATGAGTTTAAAATCATGGCTTTTCCAAAGTGTTTTTAAACTACAGCTTTCAAGGGCAAAGCCACTTTGGACTTTCTCTGGTTTAGGAGTTACTGCAGAGGTTTTGATTGCTTTTCTGAGCACTCCTCAGAAACACAAGCTGTGGTTTCTGGTGATTTTAAATACGAGGTCTGCAGCATTAAGGGCTTTTTTCTGTGTGTACCTATGTGTGTGTGTGTGTGTGTGTATGATTTTATTTTTTTTTCCTTTACGTGATACCCTCCACTTTTGCTCCAGCTGGCTCTGGAGGATGCTGCCTAGCCAGTGACTTCCAGTGCATCTCGCTGTATCCCTTCCTGGGACATTTTAAAACACAAAGAAGCTAAACCAGACTTAGATACAAAAGCAGATGAGAATGAATTGAGCATAATGCCCCAGATTGACTAGGAAAGATGCTTTTTTACAGTTTGGATGGAGGTGTTTTTTCCCTGGTGGCTATAAAAGATCAGCAGGCTTGCAGGACTTGCAGTGGGGCAGTAGACCCAAAGGGACCCGTAGGAGACCTTGCCTTAACCTGGTCAGATTCCCCTGTGAGGACGGAGGTGCCCTTCCCCTTGCGAGTACCTGCGGGGGCATCTTATCTCTGCGAGGCTTTTTGAGCCATGGGGATCAGGGAATGGAGGGATCTGCCAGCGCATCTGCATTTGACCGACGTGGCTTTATATATGAGTCTATTAGTGAACTGGAAAAGCTGCCAGTGGAGTTGTTAATGGGATAGAGGTCGTGCAAGATGCTTCCCTGCAACTGAAAAAGCACCCAGTAGTGAAGTCTGGTGTAAAAGCAACTGGGGTTGCCTTTTGAGAGGAGTACTTTGACAGTTGAGAAAACTCTTTAACTGCAGGAGAGGAAGGACAGAGGAGGGGGGGATCTGCTCGGACAGACAAACTTCAAAAGCTGAGGAGCTACAGCAGTGAATCAAGTAGCACTCAAACCTTCCGGTAAGTTTTGCAAAGCTGGGACACACGTTAAGAAAACTTCTGAGCACAGAGATACCACTTAAGTTTCCACCAGACAGGGATGTCAGCAACACCGGTGCTGCCAGCATCAGCCCGGGGCAGTTGGTGTGGAGCTGAGGGCTACTTTGGAGATGGAGATGTGTAGCGCTAATATGTCGTGTTAAAGGGAATAGGTTGGTTCATTTTGCCCTCTGAAAGATTGGAAAGTTGATAGCTGTGAAACCTACGTGGCCTTGCAAAGTGCCATATTTGGGGCTAATAGTTTGGGACTAAAACTTCCCTGAAGGCTACCTGGTACATAAGGGTTGTTGGAAGTGAACTGCTCAGCTCATTTCTGTGAATGAACTTTGCAACTTCTTTATATAACATATGATATATTTTAGTGTGCTGTAACGTATGTTTGCTTCCAATTGTGTCATTTTTGAGTAAAAATGAACTAACGGGCTTTTTCATGTAATTTTTAAAATTCGTGTGTTATCCAAAACGATCAGAGCCGTGAAGAAGACCTGACAGATACCAGTGCAATTGCTGTTTCAGCTCCTGAAATCACTGAGGAAAGGAGAAGAAAACCTGATACGTCTCCTCTCTTAAATTTCAGCCAGAAATACCAGATAATTGAGGGAACCTGTCAAACTAATGCAAACCTTCAGCTGCAGACCCAGGCTGCCAGGCTGGCCCGCACACTCTCAGGGAGGCACGAAGAGCAACTCCACATAGAGAGGTCATCTTTACGGAGACGTCTTCTGCAGCAAAAATATTTTCCAAGCAGGTGATAGATTTAAATCTTTCCCTTACTAAAAATATCCCTGTGTCTAAAGCGTGTGGGTGGAGCTGGGGATGGTTTGGTTATTGCTGGACCCTGCTGGCGTGGCAGCACGTGGGAGGGGAAGAGCAGAGGGTCCTTCCCACCGCATGTGGGATCGGGGATGCGCTGGGACGGGGGAGTTGGGATCTTCTGCCGCCGAGGAGAGAGGTGGACGGAGCAATGACAAACCAAGTGGTGTTCCGAACAAAGGTGGGATCCGGGCTCTGGAGGCAGCCGGCACCGTCTGTCCTTCCCAGCCCGCTGCCAGCTGCGGCTCCTGCGTGGCGGGGAGGAACAGCCTGCACAAAACCTTCCTGAGCAAATAGCACAACATCTGAACTCTTGCCTATGAAATTAAATTCTGGATTTCCTAAAGCAATCTCCCTGTTCCGCCAGCCTCATCAGGGAAGAGTGTAATTTCATTTAATCCATTTCTTGAGTTCAGAGTCAACTGCATTGCCATCATGCTAATATCACTGCTCTGCTATCTCTAGAGACGGAGTGACGAGTTTAGACCTGAAATCGAATTTGGCTCTATGCTTCCAGAGGATCTATCAGCCAAATTACCCGCAAGCTTTGTCATGCAGTTTAGCTCTGCGAGGATGCATTAGGCCAGGCAGGTGAGGTTATATCACTTTTTGTTTGGGGAGCAATGAGATGCTGAAACAATATATATGCAAAGCAATCAAAATATTTATAGTGAGGGCTGAGTGTTCATTTTCAGGACAACTGCCACCTTTTGGTATTCTCAGCTTTTTGAATTTGTATCTTCCCTCATATGACTGCAAATAAGATTTTCACTTGAAAGATGTTCACAAGCAGTTGTTGACATAAACCTCTACGTAAACGATATAAACTACATAAACTGTGTAAACTATATAAACTATAGAGGTTTATGTCAAATATATGTATTTTCTGATGGGCATTCATGGACAGAGGGCTGCAAACGACTCCTGGCACACCATTCACTCGAGCCCTTGTTCTGCTAATGAAGTCTCAGCTCCACAGCATAAATTTGGTGGCCAGTGGCACACACTCATTTTGCCAGTGAATAGTAAATTTTCCGGTAAATGAAGTTTGGGAATGAGGAGAGCTATAGTGAAAAGGGATGAGTTCAAGGGATATTTAGGCCAAATGAAAGGTGAGATTTCAGAACAGCTCTCTGTTTTGAGGTTCTCAGCTCACACTTCCATTATTGTTCCTCTTTGAAATTGCTTTAAAATTGTAAAGGCTATCTGTAATGAGTTCGAATGATCCACGAGCTGAATTAAACCTTTGATTTCAGGTCAAATGGTTTAGCCTGACCTGGGATGGAAATGTTGTGACCTTTTCCTTTCAAAAAGCCCTACAAATATAAGCTGCTTTTTTGGGGTGGGCTGCAGCTGGGTGTGAGCCCTGGAGCAGTTTCCCAGGGAAGGAAGGATGCTCTGGCTTTTCCAGCGGGGTCTCTGCTCCTGTCCCCACAGCAGGAGCTGCTGCTCTGTGGCTGCGAGGGGATGCGGAGCCTCGAGGGGTCTCTCTCCCCCTTTGCAATCAATGCCTGGTGCTCAGTATAGCAACAGCTCTGTGGTGTTATTAATACTAGGTGAAGCACATGGAAAGTATTATTTCGCGCAATATAAGCAGGTGAATAGGGGGTTATGCCACATGGGAGATGCATGCTCCACAGGGGGAAACTGGGAATTTCCCCTCTGGGCATGGCAAGCTGGGAAGCGTATTAATAGACATCATTACATTATAATAATTGCTGTGGAATCAGCAAGCGCGTACATAATCTTTAATGCCTGGGAAATCTCACACAGTTTCAAAATAATTAAAAGTGGGATTAATCTAGATGCCAGACAACGCCTGCCTAATTACTAAT